GCTCCCCCCCCCCCCCCCTTGTCATGCAAGGACAAAGCAGGTTGGAGAGGACGCAGCCGAGCCCCGGGATGGAGTTGGGGACGCAGGGGGTCCAGGTGGGGTGGGGGTGACACGGCTTATCCCGGAGGATGGGACCAAAGGGGACCGGAGATGGAGGACAGGGACGTACCGCGAAGGAGGCAGCAGCACAGAGGCAGATCTGCTTCATGGTGTTGAGGAGGAGGCGGCGGGCAGCCATGCATCCCTTGCCCCCCGCCTGGGCGAGGCCAGGCTGGGGCTCCAGGCTGTGGACCCCAGACCCCAGCTCGGTCCAGCATCATCGCCCGGGCGGGGGCCGGGTCTTGCCGCAGTGGGAGCCAGGAGCCGCCTCCCTCCATCCCTCCGTCCCTCCTTCTTTCCCTGCCTCCCTCCTCAGCATCCAGAGCTCCAGGCATCCCCGCATCCCTGCCACCACGGAGCAGGTATCAAGGTCCCAGTCAGGGACCAGCACCCCAGGCTGGTCCCAGTTAAAGTGGGAGGGGTCGGGGGGGGAGGGCAGCTTTCTCCCCCCGTGCTCAAGGTGAGGTGGCAATGCACCCCCAAACCAAGGGGATGAGCATCCTCCTGCCACCCAGATCCTGCTTCCCGAGGAGGGGGATACGGGACCCCTTTCCCTGCCCTGCAGGGCACAGAATTACCTCCCACCACAGCCCTGGGGCCAAGGGAGGGGCAGGACCCCCTGCCTGCATCTCAGGGGTCCAGCAAACTCCCCTCAAGGAGGGAACCCCAAAATTCAAAGGGTCCCTGGAAGAGCCCCGGGGGCAGCAGGACAGCAGGAGCCTCTTACCCCTCCCCACTCACAGAAGTATCCAGGACAGCGTGGGGAAACCGAGGCACAGAGCATCCTCAGCAGGGCAGGCCCGCAGACTCCACGTGGGGGGCTTCAACCTGTGTCCATGTGTCCCCAACCATGCGACCCCAGTGCACATGTCTGCCCAGTGCTGCCACGGGCACTGGGGACACACCCTCTGCCCGATGTGGAGGATGGCGAGAGCCTGCGGCACCGTGCCAGGCTGGTGCTGAATAATTGAGGAGCATCGACATGCTGGCTCCACTGGCTGGGGCAGCTGGAAAGCTTGCAACCGTCCCCAGGGAGGGGACAGGGAGGGGACCTGGGGCCCGCTTCCCTCTCCCCGGCGCTGCCTTTTTTTCCTTTGCTCTGCCCCGCTCCCAACGATGGCCCTGGGAGCACCCTTGGGTGCACCGGGAGCTCGATCCCACCGGCCAGGGTGGCAGTGCTGACCTCCATGGGGCTGCTGTCCCCATGGCGAGCGGCCATCCCACGTCCCAGGTCAGGTCCCCATGTCCCTGTGACACCGGGGACATCCTGGGGAAGATCCCCATGTCCTCACATCCCTGTGAAATCGGCAGTGCTGGCTTCCATGGGGCTGCTGTCCCCATGGCGAGCGGCCATCCCACGTCCCAGGTCAGGTCCCCATGTCCCTGTGACACCGGGGACATCCTGGGGAAGATCCCCATGTCCTCACATCCCTGTGAAATCTGGGACACCCCGGGGCAGGTCCCCGCGTCCCTGTGAAATTTGGGACATCCCGGAGCAGGTCCCCACATCCCCATGGACATCCCGGGGCAGGTCCCCGTGTCCCTGTCAAATTTGGGTCATCCCAGGGTGGGTCCCCACCTCCCTGGGAACGGCACTCACGTCCGCTTTCTTGAACCTGGCCTTCAGGCTCTTCATGGCGACTCCAGCCTCAGCCCTGTGGCACCTGGACGAGGGACGACCGTGCTCGAGGGTCTCTCCCCCACCGAGATCGGCTCAGCCGCCCCCAGACCCGCCGCTTCCCTAG